TTAACGAGCCAATCTAAATTATTGTGAACAATTAAGCTTCTGTACAAAGCCGAAAAAGCCGAAAAGGGCACATTTTTTACTTTTGAAAAGGAATAGCAAACCTTGAAATTCAAATTTTTGCGTTTAAAAGGCTGCAAAAGCTTCTTTTAGCTTCTAGCAGATGAACACCCCAATTATTAGAACATTTAAAAGTTCCTTTTTTAGACAATTTTAAGAACGAAACTTGAACGCTTTGCTCCAAATTAATCTTCTTTCTTTTTCGCTTTGCTCCACCCAACGGATCTCCATAGTAGCCCGTTTCGCTTATGTTTTTTTGTTCCTTTCCGTTTTGTCCAAACCCGGTTCGTTTGCTCCCTCTTTCCGGCCCCACTTCGATTTTTGGAATGTTGTTCATTACCTCTGGTTATTATTCATTACCCACGGGTTTTTTCTTACCACAAAGCTTTCCGCGCACCAGCTTTGTCCATGAGATTGTTCCAAGTGCATATCCTGTATATAGGTGATCGATAAAATATTGATTTATTATTAAGAGCGTTATCGAAAAGTTGCAAAAATTAGAAAAACCTAGAAAGAAGGTTAGGAGGATGTGAAGCGCAGGGATGAAAAAAGAGAGAGGGAGAGAGGGAGAGGAGGGAGAGAGAGAGAGAGAGAGAGAGAGAGAGAGAGAGAGACAGGAGAGAGAGAGATACTGATAGGAACATAGTGAACAGAAACAGCATGAGAAAAAGCGAGGGAAGCAGATGGAGAGGGTGAGAGAGAGCGAGAGAGAGAGCGAGAGAGAGAGAGAGAGAGATGAGAGAGAGAGAGAGAGAGAGAGCTAGCGTAGCGAAAAGGAGTTGCTTACACCCTCCAAACAATAATACAATAGAGGTTCCGCTTTGCTACTATGTACCCGGCGTGGGATATTGGATTCCTTACCCACGTTCACATGTTCCATAGAATGACCAGCGCCGGCTGGCTATTCCTGGACTACAACCTTTCGATAATTTATGACGTTGTTTAGCGGGAATGGTCTGCATGTTTTCTCCATTAATTTTGTAATTTTGGACTAGCATTGACCACACCTTACCCTTGTAAAAGTTTTCCCAGTAGATTTCACGCGATGACACCACCAAGAGGCCCTGGCGCTGGAGGAGGACTTGTATTCGTATTCTTATCTGCCCTCCTGGTCATCTACGTCCTAAACGTCAACCGTAAGGTCTTGGAATCGCTTAGATTACCTTATAGGGAGTGGTAGCTCTTGAACTCCACTAAAAGTTAAGAAAAAGTTTTTAGACACGATTTTTAACCTGTTTCCGTACTTTCAGAAACGGTAGCCATCAGAAGCAGTCAGAGACGTGGAAAGCCAGATTCTGAATTGCTCGAATCGATTGTGGCCCGATACCTGAAGCAGACGCCAGCAAGGGTTAAAGCCCTACAGTACGTTCAGCGAAATAGAGAAAGAGAGGGAGCGAGAGAGAGAGAGATAGCTAAAGAAAGAGAGAGCGCCAAAGAGAGATAGGCTTCTTTCAGAGGGGTCTACAACGGGAAGGGCATTGACGTAAATGGCGTCGCGGGACCAAGTACGTCACTATGGTGCCCGAGGTGTACTGTGCAAATCGGGTAGCTTAAGTTAAACTTTCCGATCCGGGAATTAGGTCCGCATAGGAAACGTGGTGGATGGCGGGAAGTGGATGTGCAACCCTGAAGCCGTTAAAGGTACAAGCCAGAGTAAAAAAGAGAGAGAAAGAGAGAGAAAGAGAGAGAGGGAGAGAGAGAAAGAGACAGAGAGAGAGAGAGAAAGAGCGAGAGAGAGTGAGGGCAACAGATCGCTTTTAGAAAGCTGCGCCATCTTCTCACTGGGAGTCTTGGGCGAGATCTCCTTTGAGGAAGAGTTTCAGGAGATGACGAATCAGAAATGTGCTGTGTACTCGTATGACAAGGTATCTGTTACTGACTACAGTTTATCGTTACGTTCTGTCTTTTTTTTTCAGAACAGTCCAGGGGCAAGCGATTATCGATCGGCTGCCGCAAATTAATGGACGCTTTACCAAAGCTTTGATCGCAGATTTTGACGATCCAGCGGTAAGCGTTGCGGTTCTAACAAGGCTTGTAAGGTCCTCTCTCTCTTTCTCGCTTTCTCTCTTTCTCTAGCGTTTTCTCCGATTGCCCAAAAGAAATTTTTTGTATAGACAAACACGCGCAGCATCCAGTCTGAGCTTCAACTGTACAAGCTGGACCGGGTCGAGGTGTTGAAGATTGATATTGAAGGTATTACTACCAGTTTTAAAGTATTTTTCCAAATCTAGGCGCCGAGCTAAAAGCCTTACCACCGCACCTCGAGCAAACGCTGATTTGCCAGGTAAAGCAGAGTTTTCATGACTTAAAAGAGCAGCGAGAGCGAGGAGACAGAGAGAGAAAACAGAGAGAGAGAGAGAGAGAGAGAGTGCGATTCCCGGGGAAAGCAAACGTTCACATCGACACCCCTCCTTTTTTTTCTTCTCCCTTCCTACCATCATCTGCAAGCTTCCATAGACCACAGCCAATCAAAGAAGCGACTCAGAGTCCCCCTTTTCTCTGCTGGCAATTGGACAGTTTCGTAGCCGGGCAAAGAACTGTGTGCTAGACTGTGGCTCGGGTGTGGAGTGAGATTTGAACACTGGGGGAGCTCAAGGAAGCAAAGCTCGAGATTCGGGGCCAGGCTTTCATAGGATATGCTCGGCTTAGGCTTAGGCTTGGTCTTAGGCTTAGGCTTAGGCTTAAGCTTGGCTTAGGTTCAACTTACATTTTTCAGATTTTGATCGAAATCCACGGGCTACCGGAAGAGGTCATCGACCTGATCGTGTTTATGGCGAAGAAAGGGTAACAATTTTCGTTCAGTTTAGCCAGATTATAACTCGGTTTTTTGGTGCCACTAGTCCTTGAAAATCCATATTACGTTCTTCCAGATACCGCATGTTCCACTACGAGGTCAACGGCCTCTCCCTCGACTTGAGCGAGTACTCGTTTATCCACGAGAGCTGCATGGAGCAGTTCGGAGCCGTCCCATTGGCGTATTACTGGGATCAAATCAATATTAGTAGACCTGCACGGTAAAATCGAGCGATTTATGCATTTTAGCAGAGATAACGCCCTTTTTGCACTTCTGTACAAACTAGGGTTATAATTTTTAGTCTTTTTGTATTTTGCGTTTCTTGCCAATTTGAAGCTTTTCGCTTTTTCTAAACGGGTCATTTTTCTAATGTTTTTTTATGTATTTTTGATAAATATTCAAAACGGCTTGCTTCTAAAAATCAGCATCAAAGTTCCGACCCTTGCCCGCTAGAACTTGCTCCATTCTAGGGGGGCTAATCCCAGCAAAAGCCGTCCCATTAGCCTGGTGCTTCAGGCGAGAAATGGGTGGCAATGGGGTGCGCGCCCTAGGGCTACGCGCCGCTCCAGTCGACAGCCTGGATTTTCGACAAAATGCAGGCGTTGGTGCTGCTTCTTGCTTTGCCTATTGTGTTTGCATTTACGTATGAAGAAGTAAGCCAGGTTTTCCAGGCTTGAGCTTATGTTTAGGCTCAGACCCCATTTTTTCGTTTAGCGTGAACTGTTCAATGGTCTCGGCGCCCGCGAAGCGTTCCACCTAGGAAATTTCGAGAAGAAGATTGCCAACCTGACCTTGGTAGGCTTTGATAATTTTCTTAATAACTAAAACTTATGACTTGAATTTTCCTTCCTCATAGGCCCAGCAAAGCGAGGAGATCCGAAAGTATGTGGCCACTATTCCTGCGCACAGGCGGGAGAGCTACGAGATGCGCAAGATGGAGAAGAACAAGGAGTGGAAGAGGGTGAGAAGACCAAGAGAGCGAGCGAGAGAGCGGGTGGTTGAGAGAGACCAAGAACCGGATCTCTTGACAACTTTTTTTAGAAAATCCACTTCTTGCGTCTGAAGGCGGTGAAGATCCTAGGCAAGCAGAATTACCGAAAATCCATGGCAGTAAGCCCTACCGTAGCCTAAAAAATTTGACAGGACCAGTAAAAAAATCCGTTTTTCAGGCCCTACACAAGCCTGAATTGAACCGACAGCAGCGTCTCGAGGCAATCCTGAAATTTATGAAGCGCGTTAAGCTGCTCGGCCAAAAATCAATCGTGAACAATTGGGCCCGCGAGGAGATCCCGGCCGGGATTCAGTAAAATTATTAACTATGGAAGTTGTATGAATAAACGTTATTTGTATTAAGAATAAACGCAAATCCAAGCCTGGGACAATTCTGTTCAGAGTCCGATTCCGTAATTCCCCTCCTGATTTCCGGAATTTCCGGAATTCCGGGACGTCTCCTCAATCGGCCCCTCATCCAAATCGGGGTCAAATTTCTTGGTCCCAAATGAGGAGGCGTCTTTGTTTGGCGTTCCCTCTCCTTGAAGCGCCCAAAAAAAAATTCCACTCACGCCTTAATTTCCCGATTCTGTCGTTTGGTTCCTAGGTTGCCTCTCGATCTCTCTCGCTGTCTCTCTTTCCCTCTCTCGCTCTCTCTCTTTCTCTCTCTCGCTCTCTCTCTCTCTCTCTCTTTTTCTCTCTCAAATGAGCCTATTCTAAATTAGAAACCCTTGAATCATTGAGTCCAAGAATGCACGTTTCAAAGTACGCTTCGTCATTTGCTCAGTTTTGAGCTTGGTACTTTAGATGTTTGCAGCTAATTTTTGCACAAGCGGTTCGTTACAGTGAACACCGCCATGCCTCTGCCTACAGTAGCAAGACCAAGAAATCAGGTAGAGTTCTCTTAGTATTCAAGCCGAAAAGGGGCTCGCCAGTAGGAAAATCGTGTAGTTTTGTACTCAAAGATTATTTCGGAAATGACCTAACAGCTTAATTTTTGCTTCATGCTCAAGGTCAGGCTCAGTTTCCAGAAGCTCCAAATCCCACTTGCAACTACCGAACCGGAAATGTACCTCGATGACTCGGAAGATGAGGAGCCCGCCTATTTCATCCATGATGGCCAAGCTTTCCATATGGACAAGTGTGATTTGATGAGCCTGGATTCGAGTGATCCGGCGGTTCAACAGTTCAAGATTTTTAGATGGGTAAGTTAGCGGATGTTGAATTTTTTTAAGGAGCAGTGAAGCCTGTTTTCGACCCCTGGATCTTGACAGTAGCGCGGCAAAATTAGTAAAACTCAAGCCAGAGCTCGAACTTATCGGGGAGGAGTCCGATCCGCGGATCGACTTCGACAAGTTCATATGAATTTAGATTGAGCCCGAGAAATAGTTTTCATGTAGTTCAGCACGATCCGTACCCACTCCCTTTTAGAACCTCAACCTCCTTGGAATCCGCTACTGCCCGCTGGACTCGAAGCTACAGATCTGCGCTCGCTTCCTGTTCCAGATGTTCATGATTGGGATTAGTAAGTTTTAGTCCTAAGCCTAAGCCTAAGCGAAGCTTAAGCCCACTCCAAAACTAAGTCTAAGCCGGATAAGTTCATTTTCAGCTGCCTACTAGCCTAGCTGCTGGCTACGATCTCTACCACTCGGTCTTTCAAAATTTCAACCCAAAAACAGCCGGAACTACGTATTTATTCTGTGTCTGGGCCGTGCAAGCGCTGATTTGCCAGGTAATTCAAACATATCTCTCTCACGCTCTCTCTCTAACGCTCTCTCTCTCTCTCCCTATTTCTTGCTCTCACGCTCTCTCTCTCGCTTATTTGTTTTCAAACAAAAATTTAGGTATTCCTCACCTACTCCCAGCTGAACCTCTCCGTCTGCCGCTTCTTCCACACACTGAAGCACAACAGGATCGAGGACTCCGGGCGATATACGAAGGTAAGGAGAGAGAGAGAAAGAGAGAGAGAGAGAGAGAGAGAGAGAGTGAAGAGTGTGAGAGAGAGAGGGCGAAAGAGCGACGGCCTCTACTTTCAGCTCCAAAACAACTCGATCCGCTACAACACGTGGCGTTTCTGCTTCTTCTACTGGCTCACCGTAGTCACCCTGCTGTTCTACGTGGTCATCGACGTCGCCGGTTGGACGTTCGAAGCTGTGCATCAGGCATATCGGAAGGTATTTCATGTCGTAATCGTATGAGGCCTATTATTTTTTAGACCTTTTACTTTGAAGAGCTACGTTTCTTGCGGCTAACTACGGCTTTTTATGACATTACAGTATGGAATATCGGTATCTTTTATGCCTTTTTAAATGTTGTTTCTTTAGCTCTTCACATATACATGTGCCTAACGAATATCATGTATTGGGAGACTAGGAAATTTAACCGGAAACTGAAAGAGGTATGGAGAAGATGATGAGAGAGACAGAGCGAGAGATAAAGATAGAGATGGAGAGAGAGAGGGAGAGAGAGAGAGAGAGAGAGAGAAAGGAAAAGAGAGAGATTGGGAGCGAGATGGAGAGCGATAAAAGAGAGATTTTAAAATGAGGTTTTAGCTAAAAGCCAGTTCTACCAAGGAAATGGTTATGAAGCTCGAGAACATGATTCTGCTTCACACGCGCCTCAATCGATGCACCCGGGAGTTGGACAAGATTTTTAAGGTATAAAACGGTTACGCCAAGCCGAAGCGGAGCCTAGACCTAGGCCAAACCCTAAACCTAAGCTAAGCATAAGCATAAGTCTAAACCTAAGCTTTAGCTTAAGCCGAAGCTAAGTAAGCCTACCCAAAACATAAACCATGTTTTCTTTTTCAGATCTTCGCATTTCTAATGGTATGCACAGTTATCCCTTCTACACTATTACGATGTCCGATGGTACTGGTGAGAGATTCGTGGCCCGGATTAATGTTAAGGTATTTCTTTTCTCTAATTTGGTTGCTACCTTTTTCAGCCTTCCATCGGTCCTATACTGCGGTTATACCTACTACGGGATTACCGTAACGCCAGCATCACTTCATGAAGAGGCAAGATCGGCCTTGAAACCGCGTGAATATACATTTTAGCTAAGCAAATCAAAGCGAATTCTATGCGTCAATGAGAACGTCTGGGTACCATTTGACGAAAAGTTAAATAAGGTACAGTGTGTATACACGTTTAATGGGTATCGATTCCCTAAACAAACAAAATCTTACCTTGGTATCCACCA